ATTTTCCAAATATAAGATTATAAGTGAATCTACAATCAACCAGCCTTAGAAATTTATCATCCTTTTGATAAATTACATTTATTCAAGTACCAATATCATGATAAATTCAAATGCACCTTTTAATATTCTTGACATATAAAATCATACAGGAACATTTCAAGGTTTGCACAACCAGGGGACATTTTCGAGGAAAAATAACTTGATATTGGATGCTTTTGTTCATCTCTAAGACGGAAAAACTACATATATATGGTATCGATTTGCATAATGTAGACACTTGTAATCATATTTAATCAGCTTATAATTAACTAGACATCATAACATTTTCTACAATTATATTGGTCCAAATTCCAAAATAATCAGCATACAATGTACTGTAAAATCACAACACATGATACAATCATTAATAATGAACAACATTTATGCTGTTGTACAAAAAAAAAAAGTAAAAAATGAACAACATTTATAATAAATATGTAAAATTAAAAAAACACATGAGAAAAAATTGCACGATGTACCTATAACTCCGAGGCCATTGATCCAAATAAGAATGATCACCTCCTGCATAATAGTTTGTATTATCTCCATCGTTGATGCTCGAGGAAAAATCATGATCATCATTTAAATCACTCATCATTTCATCATTATTATCAAATTCTTCATTATCATCTACTTTAAAAATAAATTCACTCATTATTTCCAAAATAATGTGAATTTATTTTGATTACTAAATTGGACTAGAAGTCTAGCACACAATCTGCAAAAACGGAAAAAATTGTATATATTGTCAACTAATATTGTTAATGGGGTACAAGAATGTAGGATTGTTTCAACAAAAAGAAACATTCAAGATCAATAAAATAAATATAATTATGCATTGTAAAATATTCTATTTGACCACTTACGTTTGTTGTGGCTCTGCCTTTGATTTTGCTGACGTATGATGGTAGGGTTTAACGAGGTTTAGATGTATGCATTTTTATTTTTATTTTTACAGAAAATATTTGCATTGGATAAATATAAACCTGTTTCATATTTTGTTTTTAACGAGTATATCATTTTCCATCTAAGGAATTTTTATTTCTGTTTCGGAAAATAAACTTTTAAGAGTGAATATAAATACCCGGTGCACCCAAGTGTATAAATAGTTTCACACAACGAACATAAGCAGTATCCCGTATAATTTTTGGTATTAAATCAAAGAATTTCAAGAATTCATGACTATCACAATAATCCATGGGTTGTATAGGCATATTTTATCTCTCAATTCTCAATAAAAAATACTCTTCTAATTGTACCCTAACAAAAAAACCTACCTATATACGAAGTATGAGTATAAAATATTGGACACAAAATCTTACATTTTAATTTGAGTATGTGACAATTATCTTTTATAACCACTTTTATCTTTCTTCGAACAAAATGTGTGGTTTTTTGCTTAAGCCGTGATTTTGATGGCTAAATATTATTCTTGATGGTTAGCTTAAAATGAAATCTGGAGCAACAGCTAATTCCCAGCTTAACTCCACCTTTGATATATTAGTGGGTAGCCATTGTTGTAGTAGCTTGGTAAAAGGTACACTAATTAAACTTATTTAATAATTTGTATAATTATAAGGTCTTTATTCTACTACGTAAGTCAAATACAAGAAAATGAACTAAATTATGAAGAAAATGTATACATATTAATTATTAATCCTTAATATTGATTTCCAAGTTAAATATCTTACTCAAACCCTTGTGTTATTATTCATCAATATTGCGTCATCTATCATGAACAATTTTTTTCTTATTTTCATCAAATTTAGAATACTAGTCATAGATGTGTCACAGTTCATCCTCGACTTATTATTGTTGTTGTGTACTCGTATATCTTACCTTACCAAAGGAACAAAAGAAATATACGCTTTGTTTGGATAGCAAAGAAGGAAGGAAAAGAAGGGGAGGGAAAATGAAGGAAGGGAAGGGAAAAGAAAGGGAGGGGGAGGTGAGCTCCATTTTCCCTCCAAATCTCTCCAATTTTGGAGAGATTATGGTTATTAAAGAGAGAGGGAAAATTGATCCCTCCCTCTCCTTCCTCCAATCTTTTACCCAAACAAGAGATTTTGTCTCCCTCTATTTATCTTCTCTTCTTTTCCTTCTATTTTTTCCTATCCAAACAAGGTGATAATAATTTGATATTTGGAGGGTTATCAAAATGATTAATGTGGGTGCTATTTGTAAATAAGTAGAATTATAAATCACTATCAATTAGGGATGTAAAAGGGGCGGGCCGGATATTGGTTTTTCCATTCCCTTCCCCACCTAAAATTTTCATCCCCATTCCCATCCGCGCGGCGGATCCAATAGTCCATCCTCATCCTCGTTCCGACGGGTACAATTCCAGAACCACCCTCACCCCACCCCCAATTGGATATCCATCTCCACTTAAGCCCTAGCTAATTCCCGTCTCCCAATACACAATCCAACATAATTAATATAGGGAAATTTTGATTTTTAACACCACAAAAAAACGAAAAAATGGTTTTTAATACTACAAAAAAAAACTTTTATTTTAACACCACATAATTTTTTAAAAATTGGCTTTTACCACCACTTAACCGATTTAGGGATGAAAATCGTTAGTGGGGCCGCAATGCCTACATGTCAGCATATTATTGGTCTAAAATAATAATAATAATAATAATAAAGAAAATCCTAATTAAAACTACCCACCCACCCCAAATCCTAATAATAATAAACCGTTAAGTGGAGCCAATTTTTTAAAACTTTTGTGGTGTTAAATTAAAAGTTTTTTTAGTGTTAAAAACCATTTCTTCGTTTTTTTGTGGTGTTAAAAATCAAAATTTCCTTAATATAGATTACAAAAAAAAAATATAATTTTGTTTTTAAAAATATATAACTGTGGGAGTTTGGTTGGGATGAGGCGGGTACGAAGTGTGGCAGGTGGAGTGGGGTGGGGGTGGTTCCCATCACCCATGGCAGATATTATTTTTATATCCCATCCCCACCCCACCACCCATCAAATCAAGACCCATCCCCCGCCATAGTGGCGAGCTGAGTCTCCTACTTGACCCGTCCCACTGACATCCCTACCATCACGCCCACCAGTGTCATTAAGGTCTAAAAACAAGTTAGACCAATGCATGTCGTAGGTCAATAATAGGCGAGCCATTAAATCTTCTTTTAAATTAGGCAAATATTTCCCCCTATATTGACCCTACACGGTCCATCTTGTCCATTAAAGATCCTATAATCTTGTTATTGCCCCTGTTATCATTGGTCTACCCTACTTAATAATTAGATTTATCTAGTTAGATCATCGGTTTAATTGAATAGAAACTACTGCCTTAGTATTGGAGTACTCGTATAGTCATATATTATTATATGGATATATAGCGTGTTCTATTCACCTAATATTCACTTATCTGGACTTATTAGACTTCATTAAAATTTATTTTAGTTGTAAATTGAACTTGATTAATCCTTAGTATGTAGATTTATTTTTCCTAAAATGAACTTATTAAACTTGAAATAAATGAAAGGCTAAATTAGAAAAAAACACCTGTTAAAAGACCTAATTTTGTTTTTAACACCTTAAGATTTCGAAGTTTAATTATAACACCTGTTAAAAAATAAAAATTTTGCTTTCACCACCTAAATTGGAACAACGTTAGAGGATCTGTTAGCTGGGCCCACAATAACGGCTATTTTTTCCAAACTGCTTTATATAGTTACGACATCCTTCACTAATGTAGAATTGTTGAGCTGATTACACAAAATTGCTTCACATTTTGCGAATTCTGACTAACAAATTGGCGAAATTGTTTGATTTTACCATCATTGTTTGGGGGACGTAGATATCAAATCAGGTAATTGCGTCAATAGCACTTTAGAAACCCTAATTTATCTTTCAAAAATAAGGCGTAAATTAATCTATATGTTGTTGACTTAAATGCATAATTCAGGTCGTATCTGGCAATAGTCATGTAATTCGTAAATAGTTAGGGTTCATTGTGTGTTAATTGTGCTGTAATTTGCGAGAAAATGAAATTAGGGTTCATTGTAGAAATAATTTGGGGATTTTGATTTGTAGGAGTGACTGTTTAATTCCCTTGGTTCAATTGTATTTTTTTCATAGTACGAATGGTTTTGCTTATTATGGATGGCAAATTGGTGCAGGAAATGTCTTCTACAAGTTTCTCACCTTCAAAGGAGAAGAAGTGCAAATGTGGTGTTCCCTTTGCAAAGCTTACCAGTTGGACAAGGGAGAACCCTGGTCGTAAGTTCAGAACATGCAAGTTCTACGATCCTGTAACTGAGAGCAGAGGTTGTAAAGCATTTGAATGGGTGGATGAACAAGATGGGACAGCCTGGCAAACAGAGGTGATCAACAATTTGTTGCTAGATAAGAAAATGTTGAAGGGGGAAATTAGTGATTACAAGAGGGAAGTTGATGATCTTGGTGGACAGTTGAGGTGTTTGCTGAATGAAGTGGACAGACTGAAAATGAAATGCAAGGCTTTAAACTCTGACAGGAACAAGATGAACAGAGAGATGCATGGAAGGAATGCTAGATCAGATCACTCTGTTCTTAGTCTTGCTGTTGGGATTAGTTTGGTCATATTAGTGATCCTTCTTATTAGGGGGTTTATAATGCATTAAGTATAACTTGTAATGCTAGTAATTGCATGAAACAGTAATATGGTAATGTAATGATTTATAAGTGGCAGTGAACCACTATTGCAAGCAAACTAATGTACACAATTATGAAAGCAAAGAATTAAGTAAGTACCTAAGTAGTTGATATTGCATTTAAGTTGTTGATCAAATTTGTTGTTGCAGTGCCTAACAAAATTGGCTGGTAAAGCCTTAAAGCAAAGTATTAATTTAACAAAACAGGATCCTTGTCCTATACCCAAAAGTAAAGCTACAAATATTGCAACTGATTGTTCAGAAAATACAACCAACAACTAAAGTTCAGAAAAACAATTCAAACATCATTGTGTCAGCCCTCCTTGTCTGGAAGTCAGCAGCTTAGCCCTCCTTGTCTGCACTCCAGTAGCATTGGGTTCAGGTTGGCTGGAAGAGAGGGTGGTGTGATGCTTGGCTTGTGGCTGCCCTTGTTGACTGTGTGAACCTTTCCTCTTACTCAATGGTTCACAGCCAGGTTGCTCTTGGGGAAAAGTCCTATTCCCAATGCTGTTTGGACCAGCCCCTATTGCACTCTGTTTATTAAACACAAATACCAATAAACAAGTATCAACATCCAATTTCATCACAAATTTTAAAAGAAAAGTTACAAATCCAACATCATACCTTCTTAGCAGCTTTGATCTCCCTCTTCTTCCTTTGCTCAACTACCCAAGGTGAATTTAAAGGAGGCCTTCCTGCAGTTCTCTGCTCAGTTGGTTCAGGTTCATGTGGGCCCTTGCAAGTCTTGGGATAGTGGCCAAATCCACCACAAATCCTACAATGACTTTTCCTCCTCTTTCTTCCCTGCTCCCCTCCTATTGCAGATGTTCCCTCCCCAGGTTCCAGCTTCCTCTTCTTCTGTTTAGGTCTTCCAGGCTGCTGTTTGAATGCTGGTGGATGAGGCTCTCTCATGTTCACTCTCTCCCAATGCTTTAGGCCTGGCATAAGTTGAATTGCAGGCTCATATGCTGCTCTGTAAGTGTCCATAGTGTAATAGGGGTGGACAAACTGCTCAGCATCAACCCTCTGATCCATTATGCATGCAAATGCATGAATACATGGGATGCATGTTAATTGCCAGTGATTGCAGGAACAAGACCAATTTGGCAAGTCAACTAGAACCTGGTCATCATTCAGCTGCACTTCATAAGTGTCATCCCTGGCAGCTTCAATTATGCAATTCCTAGCCACATAGCTCATCCTCTGAAATAGCTTATGCACATATGGAGTGATGTTGGTTGTGATTTCCTTGGAGTCCTCCCACTTCTCATTATTTCTCCTCATCATGTACCTCCTCATCCATTCCATTTGGGTGAGGATAGGTTTGTCTCTTGCATCTCTGATAACAGAGTTGAAAGTCTCACACATGTTGTTTAGTAACATGTTGGACCTGCAACTGTCACTGAATGCATGTCTGCACCAGTGATGAGTGGGGATGTTCTCCAAATAATTGTAAGCATCCTCATCAAGCTCCCTAATCTGTTGCATGGCTATCTGAAACTCAACCTACAACCACAACAGGAACATTATCATGAAAGAATAACATACACAACTGTTGTTGCTCTTATTTTGCTTTTATACACAACAGGAACATTATTACATGAAGTAGGTACATGAACAGGAACAATATCATGCATTTACTTATTCAAAATAATTTAAGGTCACCTAGAGACTTACAAATGTTGTTGCTCTTGCAGCACTCCAAAAGAGCTCTTTGAAAACTGATCCAGTGAACTTCAACTTGAAATTTGCCCAAATGTGCCTAACACAGAACCTAGTCTCTGCATTAGGCACAACTTCAGACAGAGCTTCAACCAGTCCCTGTTTAACATCATCAACAATTACTTGTCACACTTCAAACAATAAAGAACAGGACAGAAAATAAGACTACAATAATCAAAACAATATTACCTTCTGCCTGTCTGACATGAAGGTGAAGCCTGCCCCATCTGCACTTCCAATGCATTGCATCAAGGATTCCAGAAACCAGACCCAAGTCTCCCTGTTTTCAACCTCACAAGTTGCCCAAGCAATGGGGTAAATGCTGTTGTTCCCATCCTTGGAGACTGCAACTAAAATTTGGCCTGGATAACCTCCTTTCAAGTGGCAGCCATCCACCCCTATAATTGGCCTACAACCCTTCAAGAACCCATCCTTCAAAGGCCTTAAACAAATAAACATCCTCATAAACAAGGGAGGCTCAGGCTTTTCAATGCCATCAATCACAACATTACAACCAGACCCAGGGTTGTATTTCATTACAGCCTTCCCATAATCCCATACCCTAGCATATTGCTCTCTTGCTGAACCAAAAATGATCAACTTAGCTCTACATCTTGCCATCCAAGCCCTGTAGTAGGTCACTTCTACCCCCAAGTCATGAAGCACCCTATCCTTGATTTGCTTAACCTTCCATGATGGGTTAGTTCTGAAATCCTCAAGATACATCTCAGCAATGAACTCTGCTGTGACCTTCTTGTTCTCCCTGCTTCTCACACATTTATGCTCCAACTTCATGGTTTTTATTTGCCAAGTCTGTTGTCTTTTTAACTTAGTAGCATGGATCTTGAAACTACACTTCACTCCACCCCTGCATATACACAAAGGCATCCTACTTGTCTTTGTGTCAAACTTGCACCCACACCTATTCCTACACTGAATAGTAATCCTAGTACTATCATTGTGTAAAAAATAGTACTCATACCTATTCTGTATGACATGCACTCTTAAAGCTTTCCTCAACACTGTAGCATTGCTAAACCTAAGCCTATGAACAAGTACAACAGGCTTTGAGAAGTCAGATTTGTCATTAAACCATGGACTTTTGTCCTCTTCATCAGATGAACCATCCAAGCTCCTTAGGTCATCTGATTCTCCCTCAATTTCTTCTTGTAGTTGTACCTCATTCACATCCAAGTTATCTGTCAACCTTGCCTTTGGATCCTTGGAAACCCCCTCATCATATACATCAAACTGCTTCCCAAGACTTCTTGTTACCTTAGCTAAAATTTCTTCAGAATTCTGCACAAACCACCTCTCATCCCCACTGTCATACTCCTCCTCTCCAGGCTCCCAAGTTATGTCAATCTCACTCCCATCACTTGAAAGAAAAATCATCTTCCCTCCCAGTCTCACTGCCCTCACTACTATCCTCAAAAATCAATCCTTTGCCTACAGATTTTTTTTCCCTTTCCCTTATCCAACACCTTCACACTGCCAGCACCCCTTTCAAGCTTAGCTTTACCCTTTTGTTTCCCCTTACTCAACAACTTCCCTTTACCAGGAACCCCCTTAATCTCAGCAGAAACCCCTTCAACCCTTTCTATCCCCTGTCTAGATCTAGGTTTAGGAGATTCTTCACCCTCCCTCACCTTAGGCTCATTTTTGTTAATTCTTGGGCTCTTCCTAACTACAGCAGGCTTACCTGAACTTTTCTTCCCCTTTCTCTCAGCCTTTACTGGAGTGGACTGGGCCTGGATCTCATGTATGGGCCTTAATGTTTCATTAGCAGTCACAAATACTTCAACATACCCTTCCCCATTCACTGTCTCCAGCAGCCCCTTCACTTCCTCTTCATTTACTAACTCCCTTCTCCCTGTGTTAAAGGTCCTACCTCTTTCTTTATACCAAAGTCTGTAGTTAGGTGGGACATGGACATTAAAGTTCACAAACCCATGCACAGCAGCTACCCTCAAATAATGCAAATCTATCTTATCCACTACCACATCCCTCCTCCAATAACATAACCCACCACACCAACAAAGCAAATGCTTTGATTTTGACACTTGTTTAGTAACAAAAGCACCCCCTACTCTAAATACTATATCAATTAATCCATCTTCGTTGTCGGCCATTTTTCTACCTAATAAACAAATGCAAAGCAAATCAATAAAACCCAACATAGCTAAACCCATTACACAGTCAACCGCAATACTTTAATCAACAAAATCAAACATATTTAAACCAACACAATGACAAACCAGTCAACAGTCAATAAAATCAATGATTTAAACTAAATAATTCACACATTACACTAAATCATACTTAATTTAATCAAATTCAACTTTAATTACAAATTAACCCATTTTACTGTTCTTAGGGTTCCTAAGTTTTTTTCCCAAATTACCCTACTACACCCACACAAATGGCATAATGCAGCACACAGTACTTGTTGAAAACTACCTTAAAGGGTTCGAAAGGTACCTGTATTGGAATCTTACTCCTGTTGCTGTCAGAATCCACGAAAAAGTCCAAGCTTTTTGGATGTTGGAAATGGCTGACGGAATCTCGCTGACTTGTTTCGCTCCAATATTGACACCTCCTCTTCCAACTCAATTTCTCAATCACAATAATCAGTATAGGGTTTGAATGTTCGCAGTAATTTTGGTTGTTCAAGATTTGCAGACGAAATTCAATGAAGCAAAATTAGTTGGGTGGTAATAAATGACAGAGAAGATAAATTCGAATTGAAGGGGATGGAATTTGGAGGGTAAACGACTATGTGGGCCCCACCAAAAAATTCCGTCACAGTTTCTGTTATCTGGTGGTGAAAGCAAAATTTTTATTTTTTAACAGGTGTTATAATTAAACTTCGAAATCTTAAGGTGTTAAAAACAAAATTAGGTCTTTTAACAGGTGTTATTTTCTAATTTAGCCTAAATGAAAATAAGGTCTATGAAAGCGTTATTGGAGGCATTGTAGTCTTTGTCGTGTATTATATACGATTAAATTGATAAGAATTGCTAATTAACCAATAAGCGTTTGTAGTCCAACGGTTAGGATAATTGCCTTCCAAGCAATAGACCCGGGTTCGACTCCCGGCAAACGCATTTTATTTTAATTTTTTTTTTTAAAAAAGGGCATCCAAATAAACCATCCTTGTGTTCTACTGAATCTGCTTTAGATCCAAATGATTTGCCTAATTGCTCAGCAAGGGGAAACTCAGCAGCTAATCATGAAAAGTAAGTTCTTTTTGTTTACTTTTTTTTAATAAATTTAGGTTCTTTATATATCCTTGCTTAACTTTTAATTTACCAATATTGGATTTCACTGAAATTATTGTTCTTTCAATTTATCTTTTCAGTTGTGGGTGTCTGAAATTTAGTTCATTTGGTGCTTATTTAATGTATTTATAGCTAATTTGTTCATATATCTGGAAAATTTTCTGGGGTTGTTGCTGTTCACTCTTAAAACTTCGATTTTGCTCAATTTGATTGATTATACTTGCTGAAAAATTGGTTTGGTATTGCTCAAATTTCCCAGTAATGTATCTGCCAAACATGGGTGTGATAGTTTTAGCTTAGAAAATGTTGTGCAAAATGCAAATGCTGCGTAAAATTCGCACATAATTTTGTTAAAAGGGTCCTATATTGCGCCGGTTGCACTTAAAAGTTTTAATGTTGCAGTTTGTGGGGGTTTAGGGTTTTGGGTTTTGTAGTAGTAACTCTGGATTTTTTATCCCTGATTTCCTGCATCATTTATGCTTGCAGGGTGAATGAGGATGTCAGAGCTAGCTTGCTGTCTGTAAGATGTAGTGTGTAGTATCTAGCTGTTTACTGGTTTTTCTTTCCTTTAATATTATCGTCGTTGTGATACATGAGAAGATGTGCATTGTTTTGTTTGGGGAGATTATCATATAACCATCTAAGAGGATTTGTCCCCGTGAGGGAGTGCCATGAGCAATTTTCGGGTTCCTTTGGAGCTCAGGCCGTGTTCCTGTCAACTGAGTCTAATGTTTTGGGATGTGAAGAAGGAAGGCATGTTGATGTGTCTCAAAGAACACATCATAGAGACCTTCTCCTTAAGAGTAGTGATGTTAGGACAAGCCGACAAGCACTTGAGCTTGTTGAACGAGGTTGCCTTCAACCTGACCCCCTGTTCTATAACAGATTGCTGAAGAAATGTGTGGAGTTGGGTGACCTAAGAGAAGGCAAAATTATTCATGCTCATGTCCTTGCTTCTGAGTTTAAGGATGATATGTTTATCCTTAATAACATTATCAACATGTATTCTAAGTTTGGCAATTTAGGGGAGGCTAGAAAATGTTTTGATGAGATGCCAGCTAAGGACACTTTCTCTTGGACTACTATGATTGTTGCTTATACGCAAAATGGTAGGCCTGAGGCAGGCCTTTCGTTGATTCCCAAGATGCTTCATCTTGGCTTGAAACCAAACAATTTTACATTTTCTATCCTTCTAAAGGCCTCTGGGGCAATATCTAGTGCTAAGCATGGCATGCATATACACACCCTTTGTGTCAAATATGGTTGTGATTCAAATGTCTATGTTGGAACTTCTTTGGTGGATATGTATGCAAGGTGTGGCCTTATGGATGAAGCGCAATCAATATTTGATGGACTTGTGAGCAAAAATGAGGTCTCTTGGAATGCTTTAATTGCTGGTCATGCTAGAAAGGACAGAGGAGAAGAATCGCTTAATTTGTTCCAACGAATGAAAAGGGAAGATTTTTATCCTAGTGATTTTACATATTCCTCTGTACTCAATGCATGTGCTAGCGCTGGAGTTTTGGAGCAAGGTAAGTGGATACATGCTCATGTGATAAAATGTGGGGTAAAGCTTAGTGATTTTGTTGGGCACACTCTTCTTCATATGTATGCAAAGTGTGGGAGCATTGAAGATGCAGAAAAGGCCTTCACTAGATTGGTGGAGCGAGATGTTGTTTCATGGAACTCAATCCTAACCGGATATGCCCAACATGGTTTGGGGCACAAGTCATTGGAGCAATTTAACATCATGCTAAAGACTGGAATGCAACCAAATGCAATAACATTTCTTTGCTTGCTCACTTCTTGTAGCCATGCTGGATTTGTGGAACAAGGACAGTATTACTTTGAGATGATGAAAACATATGGTTTAGAGCCGAAAATTGAGCATTATGTCACAATTGTTGATTTACTAGGCCGGGCAGGCAAACTTGATCAGGCACTGAGATTTATTAGGGATATGCCTATTAAACCTGTTGCAGAGATATGGAAATGTCTTCTGGGTGCATGTAGGATGCATAAGAACATGGAGCTAGGTGTTTATGCAGCTGAACAAACTTTTGAGCTTGACCCTTATGATTCTGGCCCTTATGTGATACTTGCCAATATGTATGCTTTGGCTGGTAAAAGAAACGATGTTGCTAAGGTGAGAAAAATGATGAAGGATAGTAGGGTAAGGAAGGAACCTGCTTGTAGCTGGGTGGAGATTGAAAATGCAGTCCATGTGTTTGTTGCTGATGATGATACTCATCCTCAGAGCAAAGAGATTTATGACATGTGGGAGAGCATAAGTGCAAAGATCAAAGCAATTGGATATGTACCAGACACAAGTCAGGTTCTCTTGTTTGTGGAGGAGCATGAAAGAGAAGCAAAATTGCAGCACCACAGCGAAAAGATTGCCTTGGCATTTGCTTGTCTGAATACACCACCTAAATCCACCATCCGAATTAAAAAGAACATACGAGTTTGTGCTGATTGTCATTTAGCATTTAAGTTCGCATCAACTGTAATTGAAAGAGAAATTATTGTGAGGGATACTAATCGTTTCCATCATTTTCGAAATGGTTCTTGTTCTTGTGGGGATTACTGGTAGTACTGAAGTCACACAACAGTACTGAATTTCTTAGGGACTATTTCAGATTTTTAGATTGCTAAGAATCATGTACTTGCCAATTTCAGGATTGCTGTGGCCTGTGGGTAGAATACCGTGCATAGGGCTACCAATTAAAGACACTCCTTTGGTTTTCTACAGTTCAATCTGAAGTCTTAAACAGATGAAAGAGCATTCTCACTAACACATGGGAGAAAGTGAAGATAGGGTTAAAATTGTAATCTTGGTAAAGTCTCTTCCTGTTGGAACTTGCAGTGTTGTAACTGAGCCAATGTATCCTGTAAAGAACTTTAGTAACACAGATTCTAGCTTTACGATTTTTATGAAGAAGCTGAAATTATGTCATTAGTGCAATAATCTGCTAAAAAATGACTGCTTGATTTTTCAAAAGACCTTTTTAAGACGCTTTTGTTTTATTGGAGATATAGCTGTTCTTTGCAGAAAGCTGAAACTGTACGTGCCAGGTATATTGGAATCTATCTTCTTTATATTATTTACCAGCAATCATCCTTGGACATCTTTGATATTCATTTTTTTTATTTTTTGTGCTTCAGGTCTGTCCTGGTTGTTTTCATGTTCTGTATGTTTGTTCAAGAAATCAAGGGATCACGTTATTTTGTCAATAATTGCAGCTGTTAGGAAACACCTGAAGGCTTGCTCTTGTTTTATTAAACAATAGCTGCATAAGTGCTTTCTTTAAGACGATTAAGGGATAGAGTCACTCTGAACTAGAGAATACGGTCAAGCTTCCTCAGCACTTGTCATTGGAACTTCTCATGCCGTCATGCATTCATCTATCTTCTTCCTTTATCCTTATTATTCCTTCTATTGTTGATGGGGGAAGAGTGAAAAAAGAATAAAGAAACTATGTTGGTATTGCCTTGATGAATTATGCTTGAATCTTCTTTAAATTTTCTGATTGTTTTCGGTCTTCCTGCCAACAGCTTTGTTTCCCAATGAATAAGCTGTCTCAACTTATGCTGGTCCAAAGTTGCCGATCTGTTTTACGAGCTGATGAAAATTTGTTTCCCAGCACCTGTACAGCAAGGCTCAGATCATGCTCTACTTTGTTATCTGAGAGGTTTGAGTTGTGAAGTTACTATTTTATGATATAGAAGAATATTGAGTCCATTGCCTGACATGTGAAGCATGATAGAATAATATCCTATGTAGATGCCAAATCTATTGTCTATACTCTATAGGTTTTGCACTTATAATAATGTCACTTAGACAGCCTATTATAATTTATGGAGTCCTAATCGTCTTTGTGGCATGTTCATATATATATTGTGTCTATATGTAGATAAACTTGTCACTTGTATACAATAGGTCACATGTTCAAATCCTCTCTACTATTTGTAATTTGTAATATTTGGACCAAAAAAATCTATCATGACGATTTAATACTACATGCAATTGTGCATAGATTCACCGGTTAAATAAAGGTGAATCATGTTGGTTTATTACTTTATATCTCATGTGATTGTTGCAAATTCATGTTTTTATCCTTCATCATATTAGAACACCTAAATGACACAAGAAAATCAAAAGGAAAGGGGAAAAAAAAAAATCAAATCCTTCTTCCTCCCATTGTCCCCCTACATGCATTTATGATCGTCAATTTACCTCCCACAAGAAACCCTTTCCACATTCTTGGATGTCAAAAGTGAAGAGGGAAAGTTAGTTATCTTTTACTCCTTTGAATTTCATGTAGGAGCTTTGAATTCGATCCTCAATTCCTCATCAAACATAATTTGGGAGGACTTTTCTTATTCTTCATATACCCATTTCCCATACCTCAACAAAGTTCGTATATTATAAATTTTATTCATTGGTGTAAAAAAAAAAAGAGATCGAACATGACTATTATTTAATAAACCATAAATACAAAACAATTCAACACAAAAATAATTTAAAAAAACGTTTGTAACTAATTACACAATTTTATAATCCATATTTCTTAATCAAAATAATAACAATAAATAGATTTACAGTATTTTTTAAAAAAATCAGATAAAAAAGAAAAGAATGTCCGAAATGAAATAATTGATGAAGAAATGAATGAAATCATACTCTTCCTGCCTGACTGACCTGTCTTTCTCCACCAAACCAACCAACTCCACCACCTCCTTTTAGAGAGAGAAAATCGCCGCCGATTCTCTCTCCTCCATTTCTCTGCTACTTTCTCTCTCCTCTTTCCTCCATTTCTCTGCTACTTTTTCTCTCTCTTTCAATCCGATCATCATCATCATCTAGTCTAAACCCTAATTTCCGACGAATTTCACCTTAATTTGGGGGATCCGATCTGAAGGAAGCTTCAATTTCAATGGCGGCGGTGAAGGTTCCGAGGTCTCGAGGTCACTCCGGTGCTCCGGCGAAAGAGAATTTGCCCAAACTTGAAGAGAGTTTAAACGCGTTTCGGAATGATAGGTTTGATCCTCAGTCGTATGTTCAGTCCAAATGCTCTCTTAATGAGAAGGTAATTTGATTTTTGTGCTTAATTTGTGTTTAAGTTCTTTAATTTTGTTCTTAATTTGTGTTCATTTCTGTTGAAATTAAAATTTCGAGTTTGTCAGAAATTGTGATTTTCTTGTTTTTATTTATTGTTGATTATTTGAAATGAGAAGAAATGATAGAATGATGATTGATGGATAGTCTAAAGAGAGGAATTTTAATTTGTTTTTAATTAATTTTTAATTGATAATGAAGGATGAACAAATGATAGAATGATGATTGATGGATAGTCTAAATATAGGAGGAGTGCCGAATTGCCGAATTTAGTAGGCTTATTGCTGAGATTATTGGATGGGAAGGGGAGGGCGTGTCTGCATTTGAAGGACAATCATGATGAAATGATTCTAAAGGGCGGTACAAGAAACCAAAACAGTTCTAATTTAGGAATTTTAGTACACAGCAAAGGTGATGATTCATCTTAAGGGAAAGAGAGGGTGTCTAAATTTGAGGGACAATCATGATAAATTTTGAGGACTGCACAATAACCCAAGGTAGTTTTATGTTTGGAATTTTAATAGACAGCAAGGTGAGGATTCCTTTCTTATTTCGGCATGTATGGTTATGATCTTTTTGCTGTATGTAGAAAGACATTTGGGGATGGAAGTAAACTGATGGGATGTGTAATTCATTTTAGGATATATATGAAGGTGCTAATTGTCTATTTTGGGAATTGATACAAACAATCATTTTGATTCCATGAAACAGTAAGCTGGTTACTAAGGATGATGTCAAATTTGTGAGTGTACTGTAGTTTCTTGGTAAAACCTTACTAGGTGGCATGTTATTTCACCCAAATTTATCATTAGTTTCATTCTTGTAGGATGCCATTCGGCCATTCCTCATCAAGCTAACTAAGGGTGCGTTTGGTTCGCTGGTTTCAGGAAAGGGAATGGGAATCATTCCCTTTCAACCTGTTTGTTTGCCACTTTTTCCCTCAATCATTCCCCCATTTCATTTTTCAAAATACCCCAAAACCCCTCTTCCCCATTCCCCACCCCCCCCCCACTTTCCCATTCCATTCCCCACCCACCCTAACCCTAACACTAACACCCATATACGTCGGTGGTGGTCGGACGGCGACTGTCGGCGAGCACCGGGGAGTGGTCGGGGAGGCTCGGCGAGCACCGGGGAGTGGTCGGCGATGTGGTGCTGTGGTGGAGGAGGGAGATCGAGCGTTGGGGAGGGGGCCTGGAGCATCGGGGAGGGAGTTCGAGGTGGTGCTGTGGTCGGTGGTGGTCAGCGACCGTCGGCGAGGGGGGCTGGAGGGTCGGCGAGGGGTCAGCGACCATCGGCGAGGGGGGCGCGACTGTCGGCGAGGGAGTTCGAGCATCGGGGAGGGGGGCTGGAGCATCGGGGAGGGAGTTCGACGGTCGGCGATGGGGGCTGGATAGTCGGCGACGGTCGTCGACGGTCGGGGATGGGTCGGCGACGGTTGGCGGAGTTCTGTGAGGGTTCGGCGGCGGTCGGAGCTGCGCTGTGGTGCGCTGTGGTGGTGGTGCTGTGGTGGAGGGAATGATTCCCTGGTTTTTGTAACAAACAACCTTCCAAATTTTCCACTTTGCCATTCCATTCCATTTCATTCACGTTGTTCATTTCATTCCGATTCTCTTCTGTAAACCAAACGGCCCCTAAATATGATAAAAAATTGTTCTTGAACCCCCATAAAGAATGAGTTAATTATTGGGGCTTTGATCACTAGAGTTAGACAACTTCAACAGCTAGGTTTGGTCATTGATAAGCTGGGAATGACAGGAGTAACAAGTTCATTCGATGTGAAGCTGTAGAAGGTACTGACAGCAATAGAAAAAGAGAGCAAGGGAGGGGTTTGTATCCTCCACACTCCAATTGAAACACTTCCTTTGTTCTTTTATAAGTGCTAAACAGGAGACAATTTGTAAGGCTCCTAAGACTAGGAGAAAAATAAAACTAGGGACCTATGTGTGTTTGTGTGTGTGTGTGTGTGAGAGAGAGAGAGAGAGAGATGCAAATAAGGTAATGTTGCAAAATATTCTTGGGGCTTATTCAAAGGAAAGCGTGTCAAGTTAAGTGAGAAATATGAAAGAAAATTTGTTCTCGAACCCCATTAAGAACGAGTCAAACTTTCCCTTTTATGGACTTCTCGAGATGGAGCTAGGCTATGTTTCTAAGGATCTCTTTGCTGAGTTCCTTTTAGCTAGAAGTAAATTTTCCATTGTGAAGAAAGGAATTTTCTAAAATTGGCTTTTGATTGGTAGCACTTACCAGTATCATATAAGTTACATAATCATAGGTCATTGGAAAAGTTATGTGAAAAGTAGATTGTTTAGAGATTTAGACTATACTGTTAGTTATTAGACTTGAAGTTTGTGTTAGCATGTTGCCTTTCTAGTAACTACAATATAATATCATCGTGATGTAACGACCTTATTCTGTGCTTTTAATACAGGAAATAAAGCACTTATGCTCATATCTGATGGATCTAAAAAAGGCATCTGCTGAGGAAATGCGAAGAAGCGTTTATGCAAACTATACAGCTTTTATTCGGTGAAGACTCTATCTACTGAATATTGAACTGCTGTCTGCTTTAACTTTTATTTTACACCACTCTCTGGCATTGTCTGTTAATCTGAGCGATGTGATTTTAAAAATTAGTTGTCTAATTACCAATGAAGTTGACAGTTGACTTTACATTTGTACAACTGCTAAAATATTTTCACTTTTACAGTTGAATTTTAGTAACCAGAATTTGATAGTGTGTCTATGGTTCTGTGCTTGTATAACCATTTTTGACCCCCAACCATGCACGAGCTCTTCTGGGTTGTATTTTTGGTGGATGAACATGTTCACCCTGCATTCCTTCCCAAATGAAGGAGAAGAAAGAGGAACAGAAAAGTGGGAAGAGCATGTTGATGTGTTTTTCACTTTGGTGGTCTTAAATTTTCTGTATATCATCCTCCTTTTTCATTAGATGATTGTTTGGTACGGGGAACTGGTTTCCATATGCTATAATTCCTATCACAACAAAAAAATTGTTGGCTGTTGCTGTTGGACTAATTGTGATTGTCCTGAGTTTTTTTTTTTAAAAAAAAAAAATATAAAGATTTTATTTAGTTCAAGGAATCTCACAATGTTTAGTTAGTGCGATATAGGTTCTGAGACACGAGCAAGGAAGGCCTCTTTCTCTATTAATTATCTCTTTTCTATGTTTTCTTTCTATAAATTGCTATTTTTCTTGGATGGAGAGCTTCCTGAAAAATCTTTTAGCATTATTTTTTAGCATGACATACATACTAGCACAGCTTTAACCCTTGTGGCTTTTAATATTTGATGAGATAAGTTCTGTAAATTTAATTCTCCAGTTTGTCCTGGTAAATTTAACGGTCAGGGTTTATAATGCAGTACATCAAAAGAAATTTCAGATCTAGAAGGGGAGCTTCTTTCTATCAGAAACCTTCTAACCACTCAAGCAACTCTTATACATGGGCTAGCTGAAGGAGTCCACATGGAATCATCAGCAGTATCTAGTTCTGAAGGACATGTAATGAATGGTATCAGTAACAGTGAAGAAAGGGAACCTTCGGATCTGGAAAAATGGCTGGTTGAATTCCCTGATCACCTTGACGTATTATTAGCTGAAAGAAGAGTTAATGAAGCTTTGACGGCCCTCAATGAAGGAGAGCGTGTTGCCTCTGAAGCCAAGGAAACTAAAACACTCAGCCCAGACGTGATCACTTCCCTTGAATATGCTATTAAAGAACGTAGGCAGAAATTTGCTGATCAGCTAGTTGAAGCTGCTTGCCAACCTACTACTCGTGGTACTGAGCTACGTGCTTCTGTATTGGCTCTTAAAAAACTTGGCGATGGTCCTCGTGCTCATACATTACTTCTCAGTGCACATTTACAACGATACCAGTATAACATGCAAAGTATACGTCCATCAAGTAGCTCGTATGGAGGAGCCTACACAGCTGCTCTTTCCCAGCTGGTCTTTTCTGCCATTGCTCAGGCAGCCAGTGATTCTTTGACCATCTTTGGTAGCGAACCTGCCTACACTTCTGAGTTGGTAACATGGGCTAC